CCGCAATTCGCTACATCACCAAGAGCAGTTTTCCGAAACACAATAATTAAGTAATTACCACAAACTGAGAGGTTTTCCTCCTTTTATAAGATTTTAAAATCGTATGCGAGAATTTTCTAGTACTTTCTCAAAATCAAAAAGAGATATTTATTAAATGTTAAATGCACATGCTCTTGTATTTAAAATTTTCCGGCTTAGCTTTCTTTTAATATTCGTCACGTGCTGCACTGCACGGGAAATAAAACCATTTAATTTATAATTGAACTAACATTAGTTTTTTAAATACCAAATTCATAACACTATTAATTTTTTTAATAGTATATAATATACTTTAGTATTTTCTGTTTATACTATTTTGTGCACACGTACACACATATAATGTGAAAGCTTTTAAAATTGAATTATTTTAATTATCTTTAATTTTACTAAACTCTGAAGATTTAGTTTAATGAGTTTGCAACAATATATATTGACAGAAGATGCAAAATATTTGCATGATTCTTCCTACTTTTAGCATTTAAACAAAAATTTAATGATTAATTTTCTGCAATCTAAAATTTTCAGATTTCAAATTCTGTACATTTTCAATTAAGAAAGTTTGCAAATAAGTTAATTCAGAATATTCTACTAAAATATAAAACAACACTGCATTACTGAAATAACTTTACGTAATGAAAAATGTTTGATATTTTGAAAATGTTAAGATTAATGATCTATATTTGATACCTTTAATAAAAATAGGAAAATAAAAGTTCATTCTGAATGATAAATTTTTTCATTTAATAAATATCCAGAAACTGGCTAGCAAACTAGATGCAAATTTGTTGAAAAAAATTATGTACTTAAATACTTTAAATTATTTAATTAAGCTATATTTATTTAAAATGAGAACTACAAGAAATCTAAAACAATTCATGCATGACACAACTTTCATAAAATATTTTATGAAATGTCAAAAAATGTACTTTTACAAATGTCAAACTAAATTTTTTTAAACTATTTTATTTTATAATGCATTAAAACAAATAACACAGTGTAGATATATTACAGTAGTGATACAATGTTATATGGCAAATATCTTCCAGAAAGTTCCTTATAAACAAAATAATCTTATAAGTTCAAGTAAAAAAATACAATGGACGGAGTTATTTTCACAATTCTAGTTAGTAATCTTACAAATGTGCAAGTCAAACATTTAATAAATAGTTAAAAGTGCATATTTGCTTGTACATATATAAATGAAAGACACATTTCATGAGTTTTTCTTAATTACTAAATAATTCCAGTTTTTGCATATATACATAAGTGAGGCGCGTTATTGGCAATAAGCAAATTAAAAAAAGATGTAGTACACACATGTAATTTCCAATTTTTAATACATAACTGTAAGGAAATTACACTACATTTCTTTTTGCATTAAAAAGTAAATAAGTACACAAAAAAAGATATTTTTATATATTTAATACTCCTTTGTATAATAATGTTTCTGTATGGATTTTAAGATCAACATTTGAACTAAGATTAACCAAGTTCTTGACATTTAAATTAATAAGACAAATGCATAACTAGTTCTGAACAAGCTATTATTTTCATCAACAAGCAAAAAATTTCCATCTTTTCAAGTGGTCCTTTGTAGTTAGTTATACATTAGAAAATGAACTTAATTTACGTTTTTATATTGAATATTAAAATTGTGCACAAGTGACCTCCCATACAGATAGCTGAATGTATTTAAAAACATATAAAGCAGTTTTACATAAAAGATTTCCAATCTTTCTTCAATAAATGGAGTAATTATTATTATTTCCATTACAAACTGATATCATTTGGACAGCTGAATTTGTACATGAGAAATAATGAAAATAAATTAAGTAGCTATATAATAATCTGAAATTATAGAAAGTAGAAAGCAATTTCTATAGAAAATAATCTTTATGAAGTATTTCATCATGCATTATCTTTTACTTTCTACAAAATATAAATTAAATTATTGATTAATAACCGTGATTCTATATTAAAAGGATCTGCATGGCAGAAAATGTCCTGTTTATCTTACATAAAAGCCATTAATATTGTTTAAAAACGTACAGCATTTAAAAATACAGAATTACATAATACAAATAAGTATATTTTAAATATATACATATACTTTGTCGTAGGTATGTAAAGTAGATAATAAAAGAAATTTAATGGTACATAAAAAAGAGAACATATAAAATACCTCAAAATTATTCTGAGTTAGAGCAATGTTATAAAATAAGAAGAGACTTATGCTGGATCACTTAAGAGTCTACAAATTACTGCACACTTAACATAAAAACCAACAGGTTGAACTATTAACTCATGAAAAATATTATGAGTGGCTGATGGCAAATGTTTTATAAACCAAACTTTTTTTTGTCAAACAAGAAAAAGATCAAATATCACTATGAAATTTTTGGGAAAATACACTTTGTAGTTTTGAATAAATAAAAAGTAAAGCCTCGGTAAAATACTATAAATATCTGACATTCAAATGATACTCGGAATAAATGACAGAAAATGCTTTTTTTTACCAAATCCAAAATAATCCAATATAGTTTTAGTACCTTTTATATACCATTTTAATAGTCTCAGAAAAACTTCCAAAGTATATAGAACGCTGCTTTCACAAGAGCAAATAAATTTATTATAGAAAGTAAACAGATTGGTTTAAAAATAAAAAAAAGTTCTGCATTACTCAGAAATAATCAAGAAATGCTTCAAAATAAATATAATCATAATAGGAACATAATTATCTGAATGTTTTATTTACTTTTGATAGAAGCCAAGCTGTTATCCTCTTGAAAAATAATTAGCATGCATCCATGAAATGAAAATTTACGTTCTTTTTAACTTTTTCAAAGTTTACTTTGCAAAACATATTTTCCCCATAGATATGTTTAATTTGTTTTAAATAAAATATAACAAAATGATATTTTCATTTGAGAAAATAAATTTTTGCATTCTGCATTTGCAATTATTCTTTTACAACTTTATTCATTATGAACTCTATTAAGCTCTGTTTTTTATAACATTCCTCATTTAGGTTAATATGATTACTAAAACTAATATTTTTTCCATGAACTATAAATTTAATAACATTTATACAATTCTGATTTACAGAGATTTCTCAGTAAAATAAAAAATATAAGAGATATTACTATATCAAAATGTTACAAAACTCAGCAGGTTTTGTTAAAAATATTCTGTAGTTTTAAAAACTGTGTACAAAGGTTAAACAACAACAATAATAATAAATGTGATTTTTTAGTGAATGATTTGATAAGTGAATTTTTTAGCAGAATGTGACTAAATTTAATAACTATAAATTTCATTTCCCTTAAAGATTTCTAAGGGCAATCACAAAAATGCTGTATCATGAACTTTCAAATGAGAGTTTCATAAAAGTTGAAATTATGAAACAAATTTTGTAGGGAGTACACAATATAAATTTAATGCACATTAAACTTAAGTTTAAATTTCATTATAATTCTTTGGGAGGAGGTCTTATACATAAGTATCTATAAAACAGATAATAAAATAAAATTACAGCATAACTAGAATTTTTAAAAATTCACATTAAATAGCTTCTCCTTTTTAAGCTTGTAATATATGTAATGTTTTTATGACCAAAATAAGTTTAATTATTTCTCACAGCATTCTACATAAAAGATGCAAACTCTTAAAAATAGATCAACTTATCTTGACTGAAATTACTGATGTACTTCTTTTAATATATACTTCTTAAGATATGGTGACTTACCTAATTTCTACAGTAAATCTTTTACAACATACATAATTATTAAAAAGTATACGGATAGAATTAGTAGAACATCATAGCACATATGCAGTTCTATGGCGGTAAAATATTTCTTTTCGTCAAATATTAAAAATTGGGCTCAAGGGTATTTTTAAATGAAAATGAACATTAACAGAGAAAAATTAAGTAGTAATATTTCACAATACTCTACATTTGTTTCAAGGCTCAGATTCCCAGGGATAATGATTATGCATAAAATATGGCAAATATTGGCAAACAGTCACTTTTTTTTAACACATGAATACAAATTTTTTATAAATAAATCGGACACACTTAAAAACAACACCAACATCTGTGTATAAAACATTAAATTCATTTACACATAAATTAACCAAATCCAGCGTCCATCTCAGCTAAAGTAAACGACAACTTCGAAAAAAATGTTTTTTTCCGCTTTTGCTTCTTTTTGGTTTGTGTAAAGATATAGTTCCATTAGTTGTAGTGGGAAATGATGACCTCATATACACATTGTGGGATGGATAGCCATCATAATCATCTAATTAGGAAGAATAAAATATTATTATTATTATCTATATATATATATATACATGACATTTGCTTGCAATATCATAAGCCATAACTTTTGTATGTTATATAAATAATAGATTAAGCAACATATTTTAACTGAGAAACTGAAATTTCTCTTAAAACTATTAACCCCTTAACTGCCGCGGGCATATATATACGCCTTGCTCAGCCAATGCGTTAACTTTGCGAATAATTTTAAGTGTAGCAGCGCAAAGCAAATGATAGCAGTTTGGAAGGACGTATATATACGCCTGGGGCAGTTAACGCATCGGCTGAGCAAGGCGTATATATACGCCCGCGGCAGTTAAGGGGTTAAAATACAGCAAACATACATAAAAAGTACACAAGGTACAGGACAGGCCATATCCATATAGTTTACATAGCTATATAAAATTTTACATTTCCATGCCTTTGAACAAGACTACAGCATTCAAAGTACTGTTCACTTTTCAACAATTCTAAATTCTTTTTTCATAGGGTGCTATTTATAATATTGGTATTCAAGCCTGCTTCTGGGAAGCTGAGTGCCTGAAAGCAGGTTTTTTTTTTTTTTTTTTTTTTTTTTTTTTTTTGTTTTTGTGTGTGTGGGTGTGTGTGTGTGTGTGTGTGTGTGCATTTATATGATTTTAAATATATAATTTAATAATTTATTTTGGTCTTTGGACAAAAAGCCTTTTTTTACCATCTTTTGGATAAAAAAATCATTGGATAATGTATTTGTTCTTACAAGGGTAACTTCCAGTTTAACACTTTCAAGATGGATTTTTATTTATTTATTTTCGTTTTAATTTAATATGTTGCTTCATATTTTTGAAGTAGAAGTTTTTTAAGATTTTTTTGAACATTTATATTTCTTTTAGTGGGACATATCATTCCATTAGTCCATTATCTTGACTTAATTCGTAAACAACACCCGATTATATGACCTTGATTAAGACACAATAACACACCGAATAAATACTAATTCAGAAGTCAAACAACAAAAATCAGCATTATATTTACAAAATTTTCACAGGACTAGTTTTGATGGTTTTACCGAACCACCATCTTCAGCAGCAAAATCGCAAAAAAAACATTTTTTCAACATCAAAACTAGTCCTGTGAAAATTTTGTAAATATAACGCTGATTTTTGTTGTTTGACTTCTGAATTAGTATATGACCTTGGTTGTTGAAAAGACTGAACTCGCATTCATACATGTAAATATGGACGATCGTGCCCACTAGTAAAAATGAAATCTGCCTTGGAATGTATTGTCCCGTTAGTTTCAAAAGGGTTAAAGGATACTGACTGAATTCGGCACCTCTAAATTTTGCCACCAGTGTGTTTATTTGCTTCATACCTAGTGCTAGAATGAAATTTCAAATTTATTTTTTAAAAAGTCTTCAGCTTTTAACCTCTTTTCTTTTGCCATTTTGCACGCCAAGAAAATCTCAGTAAGTACTAATTAATCTTAAGCATCTATTCATAGTTGCTTTACGCTGATTGTAAACAAATCAGCTACCAACAAGGCTTACCAATAATGCATTTAAAGTTTGAACTGAGATTTGAAAAAGAGGGAGGGGGAATTCTTTATGTGTAAATTAATATATAAATGCTTTATGTATAAATTAATACCTAAGTTCTTTACATGTATTTACTATATATTCAAAATTAATTTTAAAAGATAGCAAACAGAATATATATCCAAAAGTAGGTATTTCTCCAAAATGAAATATTTGCAGAACCTTCAGATTTGCAGTATCATCATAAAATTTAGCCCTCGTTCACTATATATATTTGGCTATGTATTATGAGATTGGCGACTAAAGACAAGTTGTTCGGCTAAATTTTATCTTGCTTAGATTGCACACTGAGACAATTAAGCCTGAATTGTATTAGTTTAGTTATTTATTATACTTAAGGCCTATTTTTTGCATATGCTTAATGCTTATCTAAGTCCTGAATAAATATATTCCCACATATACTTAAGGCTTATTGAGCCAGCGCTAGATATCTTACTGCCTGATGCATTCTCTGTGGCTCCTAAATTCTGCTACTGCCTCTCTTTGTCTTCCCAAAATTCTGCCGCCTGGTGCGGCCATATGAACTCTAGTGCTGGTTCTGGGTTTATGTGAATAACAAATCAGTTATTCTTAACTCAAATAGCACTAAATGTATACTTTTAGCATATGAAAAGAAATTTTTGTTAAATTTCTCCTGTCAACATTTCTTAGCGCATTTAACTTTTAACTTAAATCTGTAATCATCGTCAAGCGTAATGTCAACATAAAATGTTACCAGACTGTTTCTCAGTTACGACTATATAAAATAAATAAATAATAATAAAAAAAAATTGTTTAGGCATTGCTCTATGAGTCATTACTCAAGTTGTCATGTGTTGATAAACATACGGTGATGAAAGAAAAATATAATAAATAATTATTTGCAGGTCAGGGATATAAAATATTAGTAGGTGTAAAATCAATGATGTATCTGTAGAATGTTTCAGTTTGAGATCTATGACAGGCAGATGTGAAGCTATGGTGCCAAATTATTGATTATACAAATTTATGCCAAAATGACTGTTTCTTCAATAACAAGGTATTTTATTTAGTGCCAAATTGAAATTAAGAATCAGGACTCTCCCCATGTTTTATTATGCGGAGGGGGGATCAAATACGCAGATGTAAAGCACACAAAAAATATTTGGTAGTGGCCCTTGAGGTCCGGATTTTAGATCATTCCGGATATTGGACGTCCGGATCTTGGACTTTGTACTGTAACAAAGTTATAAACAAATGTGTAAAAATCAATTACTTACACACACACACACACACACACACACACACACAAAAAAAAAAAAAAAAAAAAAAAATTAACTATTAAATAATGTTACCTAAAGAAAAAGTAGTCATGATTTTCAACATAACAATAAAGTGACTTCACCATAATAAAAGAGCAATAAAGTAATATAGACTACACTAGGCATGTGCAGAAGTTCTACTGCTTCTAATATTTTAGTCAAATTAGAAAGAGAATATAAAAAATAAAGTAGCTATAATTTCACATGACTGTCAGCGCTGTCATTTCTCAGGTTTTATATTACCTCACACCTATTAAACTCCTCTCTTTTAGAGTAAAAAAAAGGCTTATAATGCTATTTCATATTCTCCATATCATCAAGCATTTGAAGAGAGATTTTATTAATGGTGAATGAGATGGTAGTCTGTAAGAGTAAATTCAAAGACTAAGCTGGATGAAGAAACAATTCCAGCAACTTGGCAGGTTCAGCAAATTGGCACACAATCCTTCAATCTTGACATTTTGTATAATATCCATTTTTCACCTCCTGTTCTAATTTTTCCAAACATGGTTCTTATTTGGGAACAAAACGGCAGAGAAATACAGATAATGCTTTTCAGATCTCTACTTCTTTGTCATTTCATGTGCATTTCCTTGCAGTTCTCACCGTTTTGCAGAAAGGTGGCATGGAGCCTACTGATCAAATTTTATGATAAGTGTGACTGCGTCTGTCTTTCCCGTGTTGTTTAGTATACAATATTTCCACTAGTTTTAGCATGTTAATTGCCCAACACAAGATAACTCTAGTGCTCTTCTTTAGGATGCCCAATACGAGTTATCTCGTAGTTTCTTGACTTGCCACTTCTGCACCACTGCAAGTTACTCGCTTAGCACTTGTTTTAGTTGTACCGAGGCGACAAGTCAAAGCATGTCTGTATGAATCAGGCTTCTGAGAAGAGCTTTGTCTAACAAAAGCCGACTATGAGATAATTCGTAGGCCACTTTTTTCTTAAACAAAAATCATCCTGTAAACGTTTTAATGTTTGCTACGAATCATAATTAGTATTTTTGATAATATAATATGATTAAATCGATTTGGCTTCTTGGACCGGAATCCAAAAAGTGCCGTGGCAGTCAACGTGTTAAAGATGGCTGAGCACTGGTTAATTTTTATGGTTCAGTCTAGAACTTCTACAGAAACCACAGACAAATATTCAGAATAAGACTAATTTATTACATCATCTGCTTTCAACCCAAAATTACTGAAACCAGCACTGAGAAGTGCTGCAATAAATAGCATCTTTTCCTATATTTGATAAATGTTGCAGAAAACAGCAACTTACGAAACTGCGTTTATCAAACTTGTGCACTAAAACAATATCCAATGTGATTCTCATTCATTGTCTGCCATTTTAAACCATTAAAAAATGCATAAATTACTCAAACATGCTACATTGCTCTGTGTTTTATTAGAAATTAATCATTCAGTAACTAAGTCATCTGATCACAATTTCCATCTGCAAAACAGAAGTTTGGCATACATTCAATAAATATAAGGTCTCTTTCTCAACTTAAAAAAAGCATTTTATACAGTTTTATTTGAGCAGTGTTTCACATAATAAAATAATAATAATATTGGGTTTTAATGAAAGTTTCCTGCCACTGCAAATATGGTCTGTACAAACAGTTCACGTTGGTTTGTTTAATCATATTTTGTCAAACAATTTCTGGCATTTGAAAGAAAGAGACTTGCTTTATAACACTGCATTATGAATTTTGTAAAAAAAAATATCATAAATACAAGGTGTCTGAAATGGAACTATCACGCTACCAGATTAAACCCATCATTTACTTCCAGTCCTGTTTCAAAAAGTCAGCCACAGAATGTCAACAAATCATGTGCACAGTTTTAGGTTCTAATGTTGTATCGTATGACAATGTGATGGTTTGGTACCGAAAGTTCAAAAACAAGGGTTATGACATTCAAGAAGTGGAAGAAGATCACTATCCAACCATTCAAGAGCTTGTTAAGGAGTTAGACATTAGTGCCATGTTCATTAGTTGCACTATGAATTGCATAAACTTAACATACAAGTTTAATCGCTGGGTGTTTCATAAGCTGACTCAAGCAGATAAGGACAGATGTTTCTCGGCCTGCAATAATCTGCTCGAATATCAAAACAAGCACAAAATTCTGGAATAGATCATCTATTGTGATGAAGTGGATTTACTTCAACAATATAGGCCAAAAAGAGGGTTGGTCTGCACCTGATGAGCCCGTCGGCAGCATCGCAAAGCACAATTTGCCTAACAAAAAGATCATTATATGTATCTGGTGGGATTACCGTGGTATTATCCACAAAGAGTATCTGGAAAAGGGTAAAAACCCTCGACAGTAAGGCAGCGAGATGCTAATCTGTGCTAATGCTGCTATCAAGGAAAAACATTGACCTGAGTTCCAGAGCAAAAAGGTGATGTTCCATCAAGATAATGCAAGACCACATGTGTCTGCATCCACTGACTGGACTCTGTACTAACTCGAATGAGATCTTTTACCGCACTCACCATATAGCCCAGACATTGCTCCTTTGGACTACTACCTTTTTTCACACCTGCAGCTACATCTTACTGGTGCTATCTTCCTTTCTGCACAGGACATACAAAATGGGATTGATCTGTTTTTGGACTCATGGCCAAAAAGTTTCTCGGCCAAAGGCTTTGAAAAACTACCAAAATGTTGGCAGAAAATCATAGATTTGCGTGGTAATTACTACCTGCACCAAAGATACTGCTTTGATGCTTTTTTATTGGGGGGGGGGTAACTTTATTAAGAAAATTTTTTGATCGAAAACTTTCATTATAACCAGATAAAAAGAAACACAGTAAAAATATAATAGGTTTATGAAAATAGAAACTTACAATTCCCAAGGGAATGTATATTGGGTGTTATTTCCTCAATTGGTTCATTTGTTAAATCAAGGTATTTTTTCACCAAATGACGAAACACTAGGGGGGAAAAAATGAGTTTCAAGAACAAAATGGTAAAACTCAAAAATAAATAAATAAATAAATAAATAAAATAAAATAAATAAGACTTTCAGATTAAAAAAGGCATTTACCTTCAGAAACATTGTAATCCTCTTTTACAGATATCCGGAAAAAGTCTAATTTTAGTCTCCTCGCTAAAAGTTCTGCTTCGTCTCTATTATCAAAATATAATTTTTTTAGCTACATGAAAAATTTAAAATTAACAAAAATTATTCCAATAAACAGAACTATATTTTATAATTTCCTTACATTCTTATTCAGATTAAATTGTACAAAGCAGAAAGTTTCCTTTATGGTAACTTAATTCTAAGGAAAATTTATAATGGGTAAAAATAATTTTTAATTCTAAAGCCTCCCACATTTATAATAATAAACAAAAAATATGAAGAATGAATTTGTTTTAACAATTTACTTAAAGGCAAATTCTAAAACTTACTTTGTTACTGTTGCTTGATCAATCAGATCAATTTTATTTTGAACTATAACCATTGGGATTTCTCCACATTCATTTTCAACCTAGAAGATGAAAAATTTTAACAAACTACTGGCAGAATTTTAGCTACACATTTAACATTTTTTAAACATGACACTAACAAATTAAAAACACAATATTAATAAACTATAGAATGTTATTAAAATGAAATTGCAATTAAAAAAATAAATACGAGACAAACAATACTTAAAAAAATGGCAAGACATTATGCCAAAGCAAATTATCCAAGAAACAGAAATTGCTAATTTCTTTTGATTCCTCCTTTAAACTATAGCAAAATTCTCTCCAAGTGATACAATATCTAAAGTATCTTTGGTGTAATAACAGATATCAGATAAATATTATTCACAATCAAATTTTTCAGCATGCAAATTAATAGATGGCAGATAAAATTCTTCAAATATGCATCACTGCCAATAGTGCTTATAAATTATTATATTCTTATCAGAAATGTTGGAAAATTTCAATAACAATTGAACCACCTGCAGAAATTTAACATTACACAAATCCATAAAATTTTCAGCTATGTGCAGGTTATATTAAAACCTGATTAAGAGGTATACATGGCTGGTATATATGAAACAATTGGTAATGATATAGTATGCTATCTACTGCCTTTAGTTATACAATTTTAGATGATTTAGTAACATAATTTTACATAAAACTGACTTGTTTTATGTTGTTGGGACTGGATTCAGAAATGTATAAACGTGTGCATCTGTGTATGTATGTGTATATATATATATATATATATGCACATATATGCACATACATACATACAATACATACATTCGTACTTACATAAACACATACATCCATACATATATGCGTACATACAATGTATTTCTTTATCCGGTCTTGATAACAGAATAGTACCTTTTAAAATTCGCACATAAAATCAGTTATTACTCTCAATTTTAATACCTTTTCTAAAATATGAATTTCTTAATATTCAATTAAAAAACTAAAACTTTAGATATTAAATTTTTTTTCAATTCATAATTAATGTATCATCCTTCTTATTCTCGTCAGGTATCCAACTCTGCTCAAGCATGTACATACTTGGCATGCTTAAATACAGATAGCAGCTCATATTTATTTTTAAATTCTTAAATATATTCTATTGTAGCTTTTTTATTATTGGTTATGCATGATTCTCCATTTAAATAATCAGTCCTTATGATTCACTCAAATAATTCACTTAGTCTGCATCAGTTTGCAGTATGAAAAAATACAACTCTATACTTAGTATTTGCAATATTATATGAATAACAGTTTTTGCAATGTAAAATGATGAGACAGGTAACAGCACAAGTGTTTCATGAATACAGCATATACAGTAGTAAGTGACATATATCTACACACAATATAACTATGAAAAATAATGTACATAACTGAGATAGTTCTATTCCATATAATATGCAACAAAAAGATGTTAAACCTCAAGTTGTAAGAAAATGTTTAAAAATTAAGTTCATTTCCTTAATATAATGCCTAACAATAATACAATTCAAACCCAAAATGGAAGTTAGCATGACTTCAAGAGAAAAATATAATACGAAAATAAATAATCAACAAAATTTTAAAGAATGAGAGACCATTCTGATAAAAATACATTTGATAAAAATGCATCAAAACATTTCAAATAAATAAAACTTGTATTTATCAGCAAAACTGCATTCAAAATATTTTTTTATTTTAAAGCAAAAATAAATAAGTACTGTTTTTAAATACTTCATTGGGAAGGTTTTTCGTAAAATAAATTCTTATATATTACATTTCACACATATGTACTATCAATGATTACAGAAAACAGTAAAACTGAAATTTTTGGATTCATTAACCTTCTGAACGGTCAAGTTTTTTGCTAAGAAAACACAAATTTTCCAAAACTACCATTACACAGAATTATTTTATTGATTTTAATATCAAAATGCCTCTGCTACTTCATACCTGGATTTATGTGCTTCTCACATACTGCCTTAATTTCCTGGACATGTTACAAGATGCACTTATATATATTTTCTTATAGATATTACAAAATATATTCTAGACCATATATATATATATATATGTATGGTGTCTCACAAAAATGATCAGGCATAACAATATTTTTACTTTTTTTAAGAAATAGGAGAAAAGCTTTGCTGTAAACTAATAAAGAATATTTTTCCTTTGAATGCATATTTTTTAGCTATCTTTTTGTAATGAATAAATTTGGAAAAATGAAATGGTGAATTTAAAAAATAGCATTTTAAACTGAAATGGAAGAAAAAGATACCACAGAATTAATCAGACATTTTCATAATTTCTAATTAAAATCATTTGCAATAAATAAAAAACAAAATTTTATGGAATTAGTTTGGATAAACGACTAAAAATTTTTTGCTTTCAGAATTTGAATTTCCTTTTTAGAAACTATTTGCTATTTTAACATTTTCTTGCAATGGCTTGTTCACGAAAGGAAACATCATTAGAAACCCACAGATTAGTTATTGATTTGAATGAAAAGAAAAGGAAACCTTTTAGAAAAAAATTACCTGTTTACTTAATTTAACTGATTCTACAGTTTTTGGTATTATTAAGCATTATTAGATACAGACTCATAGTCAAAACAAAAGAAGACCATTTAAGTTATATCATGGAATGAAAAGCTTTATTAGGAATATTAGAAAGAATCCAAGACTGAGTTATCCTAAATTTGTTACATAGTAAATTATATGGACTATGAATAAATCCAGAAACCGTAAGAAGAGTAATGCAATCTGCAGGATATCATGGCCAAGTAGCATGCAGAAAATTTTATGTCGGTAAAAAAAAATTGAAAACTTTGACTCGCTTTTGCAAAATAAATCAAACAAAGGATGCTGGACCATTGGAAAAAAGTATTATTTGCTGATGAAAGCAAATTTAACGTCTTTCAGCTCAGATGGATGAGCGTTGGTGGAGAAAACCAAAAGAGGGGTTTTGGAAGCAAAACTTAATGCCAAATGTTAAACATGGTTGTTTTGTTATACATGGCGGAGAAGGAGTTATGGTACTGGGATCTATGGCACATTATGGTGTTGGTAATATAGAATTTGTAGATGGTATAATGGATCAGTATATATACTTTGACATCTTGAATCGAAATTTGGCAATGTCAGCACAAAACTTAATATACAAAATAGTTTTAAATTCTACCTGGACAATGATCCAAAGCATAATGCGCACAGTGTCAGACTCTGCCTGTTATATAAGTGTCCAGAAGTAATTAAGGCGCAACTGCCAAATCTTAATCTTATTGAACCTATTTGGCAGGCACTAGAATCGAAAATTCGAAAACAGAGCATATCTTCGCAGCAGCAGCTATTCAAGAAGAGTGGCATTAAATATGTCCAGAAATAACAACAAACACAATAAAACAAACAAAAACTTGTCGAGTCAATGACCAAAAGATTAAATGGAGTGAACAAGTGTAAAGGTTACCCTACAAAATATTACGAAGCAAAAGCAATGCAAGTTTTTGTCATTTTTGGCTGTTACATCTGATTATTTTTGTGAGAATATATTTCCTCATTAAACAAATGATATTGATTTTTGAATTCGAGTTTAATCTTTTCGAAAATATATTTACTATAAAAAATGTGGAACATAAATAATAAAAAAAAGCCTTTTTTTTGTTTAAATTTATTTTAGTTTTTATGTTTATTAAAGAATACAAAAAATCTAAATGCCCGGTCATTTTTATCAGCCACTGTATGTATGTATATAGCATATACAGCCTTGCCAATTGGAGGGTTTAAAAAAATTCTATATCCTTGAGCTCATTTTCTTCGTTCCCCCCCCCCCCCCCCCCATTTTGCATAAAAAACTAATAAATTTTGCCCTTTTCCCCAAAAAAAGAAAATTCCATTCTTAATCTATTTCTATTTGTTTTATAGACCTAACAAGGGCTAGTGATGCAATTAAAGTTCAAATTCGAGATCTGAGAAAGAAGGGGTTGAATAAATTTTAAACAGATATTTATCACCTAAATTAATTTTAAAAAACAGCAGACTATACACTCAAAAGCAGAGATTTATCTAAACCAAAAATTTACAGAGATTCATAATCCAATCCATACATAATAATAGCAATGAAAAGAAAAACACTACTGCATATGCAGAAAAAGCTTAATAACTTAATTTACAATATAAATTTCCTTTTTCAACCAAATATGTTATCAGTACTTTTATCAAATATGTTATTAGTACTGTTATATGTACTTTTGTTAAAAAATTCATTTACATGTACATATAACAAAAACTGCCAATAATTTTGCTGCCAAGCTGAATTTCACGAGAACTGAAGTTTCATTTGTTTACACCCAATAGTATGTGCAGATTACTCGCATTCACAGATGATCAGAATTCTAGTGTACTATAAGATAAGCTCATTAGGAATATTACGTTATTGATAATTTTAAATACTTTCTAACACATTTCTGTTTACTAAAAATATTCATTAGTTCATTTTCTGCATATTCATTCATATGAACAATCCTACTTAATTATCTTCATTCTTACAGTAAAATTAGTGGTTTACAAAATTATATTTATAGCATTCTATATAGTTCAATGATCCTAAAAAGTTCTGAAAGTGCCAGATTATCAGATTTTACATATGTAATTTTTAAGGAGTATAGAAAATAGCATAAAAAATTACATGATAATCACTAGGATAAAAAATTATGTGGAAGAACCATACATGAAAAATTTATTTTACATGTTTCTACCAAATGATATATTTTTTCAGTATTTTGTCATGACTCTATACATAAATCTATGTGAATACTAAGCAAGATGTTATAAAACTATAATAATAAATAAATATGAAATACCTTTCTCTTCCAGGATTCAATAGCTTTGAAAGAATCTCTATCTACAGTAGAAAAAACTAAAATACATGCTTGAGCACCTGTAAATAAATTCAATATCTTTTAATATTTTTCATATCCAACTAGTCATATGCATAATACGTATAACAAATTTGTTTTAACAAAGTTTACAGTACAAGCATAAACATTACATCTGTGAGAAAGGAAGGAAATTTAAAATTTCCCCTCAGTTTATCAGTTTACTCCACCAAAGGTTTAAATTTGAATCAAGACATGATCCAGACAGCGGTTAAACAAATTTTATCAATCAGAAAAAGAAACATATACATAAATTTATAAATTACTGGATGAAAATTCTGACATTTAAAGAATACAAGCAATCTTATTCAGACTTTAAAAAAGACTTTTGTTGGGTAAAAGTAGAGTTTAGGGTATACCCCTTGGCGATTTTTGGCGGCACATGGATACCGATTTTGTGTAATTCTTTGACTCGTTATTTTGGCTTGCGAAGTGGCGATTTTTGCGCCAAACATCGATGCTACATAAAGCCAAAATAACAAGACAAACAATTGCACAAACTCGGTATCCAAGTACACATCGACTTATTTTCACTTAAATCCTCGAATTGCAAAAAAATGGAATTGCGCACTCCTTTGACTTTATCCATGTACACATTGACCTAGTTTCACTTTAAAAAAAAAACCCCGAATTGCACAAAAATGGCATTGCACATTCTTTTAACTTTATACATGTACACATCGACCTATTTTCACTTTAAAAAAAAAAATCCCAGAATTGCACAAACTTGCATTGTGCACTCCCTTTACTTTGTCCATGTATACATCGATATATTTTCTTTTAAAAAGTCAAAGGAGCACCAAATTCTAAAATATAGGCAAACAAAAAATACATAATCTCACATAAATAATCAAACAAAATCTCATAAATAATCAAACAAAAATACATAATCTAATTGTTTGGTTTAAAATAAATTTTAAACCAAACAATAAAATAACATAAAAAAGGAAAAACATGTTATACATTTAAGCACTACCAAAAGCAAATATTCACTTACCATGATTTTCGAATTTGCTTCGTACACCCAGAGCCACGTAAAAATCAAAATATCAATCATACTCAAATGACGTTTTTTCAAACCAGGTACTCTTTTCTGAATCGAAATGCTTAACATAGTGACCATCTAAACCTTTTCTTACCTACAAACCCATCTAAACTGATTTTTATGTTCGAACTAGACTGCATTATCCTTCCTTATATACAAGGATACTTATAATGGCTACTAAGTAAACCTTTCATTGACACAGCCAGTCAATTAAAGCTATTTTCCCTTTCGCCTCCAAATTGTAACAGAAACTTCAAATTAATCTTACTACATTCGTCCATTCTACAGTCTAAAGAATCAAACCAACACACACCCCAAAAACGCTTACAAAACATCTCATGATTCAAAATTTCCCAGAATCATGCACCCGATTACGTCACAATAGGGTTTCCATAACATTCAACTACTCAGGCTATCATAAATGAAACAACAACTTGGCGATAAATCAAAGAACAACTTCGCCATAATACAAGGGGTACCTTAAAGTCTATTCTACCCCTTTTGTTGATATGAATTTAAAGGAATAAAATTATTATTGGAAAAAGGGTATTTATGAAAATAAATTTTTATGTAAAAATATAAAATAGTCATACCTCTATAATAGGCTTTAGTTATGGCATCAAATTCTTCTTGTCCTGCTGTATCCCAGATCATAAGCCTCACATCTTCCCCATTATAGCTAAAAAAAATATAATCAATTACTATATCAAACTAAATACAAAAAAGAAGTTATAAAAAATTGTTTTTTAATGTTTCAAATTATCTTCTAATTTTTTCTTTGTTAAATAAATCCTTAAAGTACACATGCATATATATATATGCAAAATAAAAATATGTAATTCCAAATTATGAATTAGCAATAGTTTCTTAATTCTTAATTTTAATTTGAGTATTTTCCCTCTCTGTTCTAATAACAGGAAATTGCTTAGGAACTTTTTCTGGACGGGATCATTTCTAGATTAATCCATATCATGCGAGTTTTACATAATGATAACATTGTTAATTTGGAACTTAAAAGTTTCCTGAATCGAAACCTTTCTCTTAATAAACTTCCATACTCAATAATACACAATTTGCTTCTACCTCTGTTACTGCTAAGAAGCTACACACTTTTTTTTTTCCCTTCCTGCTGCAACAATATCATAAATGTAAATATTCTGGAAACAGGCACGGTTAGAGTGACAAGTATATTGTGGCCACAAATGTAGAGTAAAATAAAAATGAATATTTAATCTTCCTTACTGCCAAATTTGCTGTTTATTATGGATAAACATCTCAATATTTGAGCTATTAATATTTCTAAATCATTAAATCATTACATTTAATCTATTTCATTACATATATATATAACAAAGTTCTAGTATACTTTAAAATTTGCTACTATGCTTTTTAATTGTCTTTTAATGAATCGGCATTTTGTATACCTACCTCATCTCATATACTAAATTTCTGTGCCAAAATCATTTAAGCAAAGCTGCATTTTCCTGCAATTGCTGTTCTCTTTAATAATTTATCATATTGCCAATATTTTAATGTAAATTTATATACAGACCAATAATTCAAGGAAATATGGCATTTTGCAATTCAACACTTAGTGCCAATATTTGAACTGAGCCATTTGTCACAAAACTTATATCACTGGGACTGTTGAATGAAACTAGCAATATTGTAGTTAAGGTACTAATGTCCACTGCCCAATCAATAGCTTCTGTTCTCGAGTCTCTTGTTCCAAAACTGGTGAGGTTACATTCATTTTTGTTATCCGCTGGCCTATTTATACTCTCTGTTTTGAAACTTTCAAGGTCTATAGATCTTTAGATTGTATGCTAGCTGAAGATCATTAGGAGGATTTATTGCTCGATTCTAATTTTGGTTCTAAGAAATCTAATACATTTAAAGAATTCAGACTGTGAGTTCAAAAATTAAATAATAAAATAATAATATTTAGATTAACAATTAAATCAACAATACATTTTCATGAAAATTTTCTTTTTGCCAATAATCGCATGTTGCTAAAAAAGAAAAGATTTTTCAAATTAATGAAATATTATTCTATACAAATGTTTGACTAGTAATTTAAAGCATTAATGTTACTAATAATTTTAAGCATTAATTGAAGCATTAAAATTACTTATGAAACATAAATGCATAATAGGTTGATGGTAAGAGAAAAAGAATGGAAGACGCCCTTACTGGGACTTAAACCTATATATATGCAAGTTTGTTTTAAACACAGGAGAAATAAAACATACACTTACTCAATCTGACGTTCTAAAAAGTCTACTCCTATGGTCTTTTTATACGAGTGTGTGAAGATACCTTTACAATATCGCTGTATCATGCTGGACTTTCCAACAGCTCCATTGCCCACAACAACAACCTAAAAGGTAAAAATTTAAAAGAATAAAAGCACATAGCATAGTATTTAAAGCCTGGTATGCTAGTACAGATTCCAAGTACTTAGTGTTAATCTCTGGATCCATGAAATGAGTCAGGTAACTTATTTCTGTCTTAACCTCTCCAGAATGTAGCCACAACCTTTCTGGCAATGCACAAAGTAAATTTTATTGAACACACTAAAATTCACAAACCAAAGGCATTCCATTTGCTACTTATAGTTCAGAAATCTCCAGATGAGGTAAAACATGCTAGCAACTTGAAATACAGTCAAAAGTCGTTAATTCAGACACCCATAATTCGGAATGATCTATAATCCGGACCTCAAAGCTACAAACTTTCTGCGCAAGCATCGCATTCACGCATGCACACAGGCGTTTACGAGAGCGTGTAAGACCTTTACGGCTGCTAATATGTTTGTGCGCATGCGCATTTAATGTTTAACGGAGGTATAAGCTGAGCTAAAATTATCTAATTCAGTTAATGTTGCAGATTGCGTTTGTTCCTTAATCTTCGAATTGGATCCGGCTTATTATTTTTGCAGACTGTTAAGCAATTTCATAAAAGTAAGCTTGAACTTTCGATTATGTCAAATAGAATTTCCGATATATATTACTAATATGTATTTGTATCTACAAAGTGAAAGTATGTTTTGAAATCCGAAATCTGTTATCAATTTCACACCGAGGATGGAAGTTGATCTGTCAGCACTATCCTTATCTTCAGGGCAGATGTTTTTATTTTATTTGGCTTATAATTCCTTACTAAGTGTAGTATTTTATCTCAATAAACTCCGTCTTTGATATTATTTAAATCAAGTTCCTCGTGATTATAATTCGCTTCTGATAGTGAAGAAAGTGACCCAGAGGTTATTGAAAATGAAAACATTTCGATTGAGTGGGTATTCTCGACACAGCAATTATAGGACTTCAACAGCGGAACTTTGTAACTGAAGAAGAAATTATGTCTGTTTATAGAATTAAAGAGAAAGTATCATCACAGAAAACGAAGCAACTTAAACAACTTACATTGACAGAAATGTTTAATAAAGTAAACATATAAATATTAAGGTTTTTTTTTTTTTTTTTTTTTTTTTTTTTGTAAATTTTTATACCCTTTAGATCATAAATTGTTCTTTATTTCATAAATTATGGTTTCATTTTTTAATTTTATAATTTCTGCATGCCATCTTACCATTTAAACTGATGATCTATAATCCGGAATCGCCGAAGTCCTGACGAGTCCGGATTAACGACTTTTAACTGTATATATATATATATATATAAAAGTAACTAAAGTTCCATTTAAATAGAAAAGATATTAATTTGCATCTTGGTATTAGCCAACAGTAGAATTAGCAATAAAGGCAAAAATGTTTAAATTTATTGATTAATAAATATATAAAACCTTATATGCTCAGATGTTGATAAACAAACTGACTTTTATCTAAAAAATAGTTTCTTTCCTTGGTTTTTTTATCCAGATTTAACCAGCAGATGTACTTGCCTATGTTATGAGTGAATTTATTCAGTTAAAAACAAATTTCAGACAAATGAAAGCAGATTTCAAAAACTCTTTGCTTCAAAAAATTAATAAAAATATGAAATCTGTAAAATATATTACAGAAGTATATTCAGATCAACAAAATATTCAACCCATTTCTTGCAACATTCAATTACATTCAGTAATAGGATTAGTTTCATGCCAGAACACATATTCAGCTAAACTGCTTCCTACAACATTTTTAGCTTGGATGATCTACAGGCAATTTATTGCTAATTAGTCAGTACACTTAATTAGTAGTGATCCAGTTGTTAATAGAATCCCTTTACTGGCTGTATAACATTATATTTATCCACCAATAATTTTTGGTACTCTTCTCTTATTGGGACTGGATTTGGAAATGTATGTATGCATGTGTATATGTATGCAAGTGCACTAGGTGCGACTGTATACAAACACACATCTATGTATGTATACACATGCATTGCATGAACACATCCATATTGCATATATGCATACATTTCTGAATCTGGTATTGATAACAGAAGAGTACCTCTTTTTTTATAGAAATATGGCTAATCTTTGGAATATGGTAACAGGTAGTTTGGCGACATTTTGGTAGGCGATAAAGGTTACTACCTAGGACTTTGGGAACAATGTGAGAAGTACTCAGTTCCGATTACGCATTATTTGGTGAGGGAAATGAGAGGTCACGAGATGTCAGGGACATTAATGCGAATTACAGTTCTTTAACGAAAAGGGGGAAAATTTGGAAAAATATCTGCAGTACTATAGTATTTTGTATTAAGCTTCATTGTGTTGTGTGAAAGAGTGTGATTAATTTTGGATTGCATGCGCTATCTAAAGTGAATTTGAAATGGTATTTAGTGGGATTGAAGGGGTCGTATAATTGTTTTTTAAGGTTGTGCGAGATAAAAAATAAAGATTGCTATTAAGTTTTATTAAGCGTATATTCTACCTGGTACAAATAATATTTGATTGCTGGAAGTCATATGACTGTTTGGAGATGAAGGTTTTCAACATCTTGCTGTTAACCATAAGTATCATTTTAAAGATCCTGAACAGGCGCAAATACGAATAGGATTGAGATTCTGAAGAAGACAGTAAGTTAGTATTTTTAATTGTGAGGATATTATTTTATGCATTGTTCTAAATTTAGGAGTAATAAATTAATATGCATATTGGAAAATTGTTATTAGCAATGATTTAGTTTAAAGTAATTAGGATTGTAAGTAATTTTTATTAATTTAATGTATGTGCTTAGTTATATTTTAAGTAGTGTTTTTAATTTTATATTTTAATTAAATGATAGTTATTTTGTGAATTATATGTTTGTAGCAATTGGTATACATTTCAGTGGAAGTAATGTGCATGGAAATAATTTAAATATTCGACACTAAGTATTTGCAACCATTTTTAATGTTTGCGTTATAAATTCATTGGTGACGTTTATAATAGAAAATTTGGAGGTAAAAGTTTTTGGATATTTTATTTATTTTATGCGTGGAAATGTTCATCCTTGGAAAGGGTATATACTTTTTCGCTATCAGGTAATTTCATGTATGTGCTTTCTACCGAGTTTAAAGATTCACAAAATTTTCCTGCATTTTCGTGCAAATTTTTTAATTTATGAGAAAATAGCAGTGTAGATGGATAAAGTCAAGAGTGTGTGCAATGCCATTTTTGTGCAATTCTGGGATTATTTTAAGTAAAAATAGTCGACGTGTACATGGTTCTGTGTATGTGCGATTCGAAAAACGTGGCAAGGAGTTTGCGATTCTGCACTTTTTCCCATTTTGCAGTTAAATTTATCATGATTAAGCAGTTTTGTTCCATAAAATTTCTAGCATAAGTGTAATTCGGCTAGCAGATGTGGTTTGGAAAAAGTGTTGAGTAAATAAAAGAAAAGAAACGTCTTTACTTCGTGAAGACAAAATGGCGGCAAAAAAAAAAAAAAAAAAAAAATAGAGGGTTGCTGTAGCAGAGTTGGTCGCCAAATTTTCGCCAAAAAATCACCAAGTTACCATAATCCAAAGATTAACCAAAATACGCTTCATTAGAAAAGCAATTAATGAAGAGTCTTAAAATAATGGAAATCTACATGGTATAACAGAAAAACACAATGCCTCAAGTTACACTGCAATTTATCTCAGCAAGGCTTAAACAATGCAATGTTTTTTTTTTTTTTTTTTTTTTTGATGATTTCTTTCAGGATATCTGGCAAAGATCTTATTGTTGGAGAATGGGAATTCGGTAGGAATAAGATGTTGCTTTGAATTTAAGCCACAACCTAATTTTATATCCTTAAAATCTGAATGAAAAGTATGACCTAAATTTTAAGTAAGACGGTATTTATCTAAAAAAAAATCTTTACATGCACATTTTGAATTTAAAATTTAAAACAATTATTAAAAAAACAACAAAATTACAAATCAGAGCAGTGCTCCCAATCAAAACTTTTTCAATAATCAGATTCAATAATTAAAAATAAACTTTTGAAATATTTGTTAGCATTTATAATTAATTACCTTAATAGCAACTTCAAAATCCTCTTCTCTCATGACAGCAAATAAACTAAAAACTTGATTCCTGATCTCATATTCACAAAGGTACACTCAAAATAGTACTTAAGCTCTGCATGCCACCACAACACATATCTCTGAAATGTTAGAAAAATATTAATGCACATTTCATAAAATATAGCTCGTCATGAACAATTTTCATCTACACATCTGAATCTAGTACAATTATGCAAGCCAGAAGATGCAAACTTTTTCTCAACTGTTTTTAAGCAATACTAAAACACCAAGAATTAAAATAAAAAGTGAATCTTATATTTATGAAATAGTTGGTTCATACTGATAACAAACCAAAAATAATACTCAGAGTCATCACATCATATTATCAGAACTTAAAGGCAATTAAAAAAGATTTAGATTTTATTTAACAAGCATACTAAACCTACTTATGAATAATTTAAGGCTTTGCAAATGAATATTATATCACAACTAATCAGTGCTACAAATATCTAAAGAACAAGAATGGTTTGAGTACTCGTGATACACAAATGAAACTGATTACTCAAATGCATGTTTTTAAACTCATATTTTTTTATCTTTTAATTTATTAATTAACTGTATATTAGCCTTCACTTTCAATTATTTTGTTCCTAACAGTTATTTAACCCCAACGTAAAATGTACATCAGATTGTTAGTCTTCAATAACTGAAATTAGCTCTTCCGGTACATATTATTTATGAACTATATCAATTATATCAGTTTTAAACAAAAATCTGATATGCATACTTCAGTATCATACACACCCTTCTATTGGAACATTATAAATTTTATTTATAAATATATGTAAAAAATTTTCAAAATTTTAAAAACACACATACATACATTCATACATACATAAAACTCACATATATATTTTCTCAAGTTATCCTCACACTATCTCAGAACTAGGTTCCTTGCCATTTAATTGTTTAATTCGATGCTAATATTCCTCAGTAGCTCTTGTAATAGTTTTCAGTACTCCTTTATTTGACAAATAAATTTTAAACAAAGTTATTTATATAAAGGAAGATTCGCTTGCATAACAAAGTATACAAATAAGAAAAACTTTTTTAAAAAGCCGTAAAAATTTATTCGTAATTATTAATTCAAATGGTAACAATCGCAATCTTTAGTCTAAACACACGCAAGATTGTTAATAAATTCAATACGTGCACCTAACAATAGGTTCTCACCGGTGTGTCAGAAGCATTACGTATAAAATCAAAAGTTCTTATTTAAATGTCGCTGAACTTCATCAATGGTTAAAAGCACTCACTTACACGAATGATTTGAAGATCTATTACACTAAGTAATCACGTCTCGTAAAATATTGATTAATAAAATCACATGGATATCTCCTAAGCATTTGACAACAACTCTAACCTAGCTTCTTCAGGCAAAAAGCAGGTAAAAGGTCGGTGCCTCCTCGTCATGGTTGGACGGCATTACGTATGCGCCTACGGCGAAGTTTCTTGTTGGCAGCCATCTGCGAAAGGAAATTAGAAGACAGCCAAGTCTCAGTATGATGGTGAACGGACTCAAATAACCTTGAAAACATTCTTGTCGCCAATTTTGGCGATAACTAAGTGAATGTAACTGCTATGTATGTTTCACTTCGGCGATGTTAACTTGTGAAGTTTTCGCTACGGGGGGTAAAAGTTAAACAAAAATCGCGCTAGGGTTAAAAAGTAGTAAGCATTTCCTGTGAAGTGGCTGTGCGAAGATGCGGTTTCGGTACCGCTATACTCGAATGTATTGTTCTTCGTTTCATTTAATGAGCGAAATGACCTTGTCCTATTCTTCTTGCCTTTGGAATTGCCTGTAAACTTAAAAGTACAATGTAATTGCATAATTGGCTTTTTTACTTTTCAGTTGAAAAGTAATATCGCCACACTTCCTAAAGCGTCTAAATTTTAAGGATAGAAGTACAATCAGAGTATATATTTATCAGTTATCTTTAAATGCCAGATATAAAACGGCATTTTTCGTTATTCGTACAGATGAATTCCTGCTTTCCAAACTGGCAAAGTAATTTATTTAAAACTGAGCTGAAATATTAATCACAAATTAATTTATTATGCATATCGTAGCGAAATATATGTGCAACTGATATTTGCAAAACAATATGATTTTGACCTTTAAATTAGGACTGTTCCTAGCAAGGGTGCAGAGCGTAAAAATACGCAGACGGCGAAAATCAGGGGGAGGGCAGACTCTGGCGATACCACGCCTAAATATATTAAATTCATTGTAAGTGCTTGTCATATATAAGTAATTTTTATACAATTTGTCATATGTAAGTATAAAATAAAAATTTTATTAATCATTGAGTTTTTTTTTTTTTTTTTTTTAATTTGGGGGCAGCAATTTTAGGAAAGTACGCGGGCAGCCAATGGCCTAGGAACGGCCCTTCTTTAAATGAACTTTATATGAGAAAAAAAGTAAGATTTTTATATGAATGGATAACTATAATAAATCTACAAATGTTCTTTGAAACAGAAGTATCCTGAAATTAACTTCAGTGCAGAATTTGATGTATTTCTTTTACTTTAATATGTAATATTACATAATTACAGTGATAATTACAGTAGATAAGTGGAAAATAGGGAACGGGGAATGAATAATTGAAATTTGACTATCGAGAAAAATTTATGTTGGACCCAGACCATGGAAAATTTCGACGTGCCGAATTTCGAAAATCGAAGTTCTAATGTATCTAATCTGACTGTAATCTATTTAAATTTGTGATAAACTGGAACATTTCCGTAGTATTTATTATTATTATTATTATCATAAATATACACTCTTGTAAGTAGATCTCAATTCAATTACACATCTGTGATACGTGTCACGACTTTATCACACCTATCGATGCAAAACGAAATTAGAAACTTTTCCGAGAAACGCATTTATTCGAGTACAAGTTTTAAATGGGAGGTTTTTAGCCGCAATATTTGCACAGCATTTGCGTTCAGCGTTCTGTTCCGGGTACGTAGCCACAATATTTCACAACGCTGTTGGAAACAATTGGGCTTACAGCTGTAGGAGAGGAAAGAGAGTAATCAGTCAGATGAAGGTTCTGTTTCTTTATAATTTACTTCTTGGAGGTCTTCCTCGAGAGCTCTGATAAAGTTTCTAAAGCGCCGGTTGAAAACTAGACAATACCCGTTCGAAACCACCCCAAACTCTTCACATTCTGTTCGCCATATTTTTGAATTAATGGAAGAAAATACTGCCAAAATTTATCCTAGAAGTATAAAGGTTTTGATATTGAAATGAACCTACATTAGGACAAAGCCAAAAATTTTCCCCGAAGTATAAAGGTTTTGACATTGCAGATGAACCTACATTAGGACAAAAGACCTAAGCTAAGCAATTTCCTATAGGTCCTACATTCAGTCATAAACGCAGAGCTGTATTAACCATTTAAAGTGTTGTTCTACTTATTAAGAGATATTTTTTAATTATCCATATATTGCACACCTAAGAAAAAGACGCGCCTGATAAAAACGAATAAAGAGTAAATGATGATAATTATAGCTCTTAAAATTTAGTTTTTTTATATATCGGTCTACTTTGGTCAGAAATTTTCGGAGCTATAATTTCGGATCATTTTTCTGAATAGAAATACGTTTTGTGAATGAAGAAATTTAGGCCTGGATTCCTTAAACTATAGAAAGTATCCTAAGATTACCTTTGTGGAGGATTTCCTAAGGAAAAGTAAACCCATGTTTATATTGCATACGAGAAAAAATCCCATAAACCTTCAGAACTAACTTCTTGCATCGCTGGATAAATTTTCATAAATGGACGCTTTTAATTACAGTGCTTTTCACCTACTGTCAAACCTGTTGGAAAATTAAAATAGTTTGTATGAATTTAATGTTCTTTCTGCAATTATTGCATACAAAAGAATTTGAGTAAACAATTGTTGCATACAAATTGAATTGCTGAACAATTATTGCATACAAAAGAATATAAGTTTTGTTCTGAGTAATTCTGATTAATGATCGTCATATTTAAGAGGTGTGCGGGTAATGGTGGACTTTTAAAAATTAGGGGGGCTTAATTTTTATGAATCAAACTGTTTCTTAAAAATTAATTATTGATTTGGAATCAACCCGTATGCAGAGGCATGGTAAATGAAAAGATCTCTGAAGCTTTGCTGTAGATCTGTATTTCGGGAACTTTACAGGACATTCTCGAGTAAAAATTTTTATTTGTAAGCTTTCTAGGTCATTACAGTTATGAACACAATGCAGATAATATGAATTACACGTTATAGAAGTAATTTTCAACTTAGCCTTGCACATAAAATTCCTAATTTCAATACTGAATAATTAAGATATTTTGATCTTAATTTTCAGAATTAATTTCAGCAAAAGGATACTCGTTTCTTTTAAAACGGAAAAGAAGAAATGATTTATTCCGATAAAGGCTGACCCAACCATCCTCCATGGAACCATTGAAATTAATGCCAAATTAATGGTTGACTGGTTTTAACAGAGCACGTAAGAGCTATTCTTCCCAGAAGGGATGCCAAAGTGAAGTGATTTCTAAGACAAAGTTTCATGTTCATGCTACACATTTGGAAAATCACGCAAATCCATACAGGCAACTCTTTCACCAGGAAACCAAGCCTGGATGTAGTAATAAGATTTAGTAATCTCATCAATTTCCCCAGTTGTAGAGTAGACCAAAATTAAACTTAATTTTCCAGTCATAAAAAATTTAAAACGACGAACATCTCTTGAGTGGAATTCAAAGAAAATATGAATGTCATACTTCTTTAACCAACAAATAAGAACTTTCTGGTTATATTCTATATTAAATAAGATATTTAGATTTGTTTAAATATCGTCTACAACGTTTAAATAATTAGTATGTTTAACTATATTTCTAAATACTGAATAATTTAAGATTAAAATGACAAATATGTATTTGAAATAACATTAAATATCTACCAGGAAAAACCCAGAAAAGTAGAAGATGTAAAGATTATGAAATATAAATATATTTCCTCTTATTTATTTTTTACGTGAAAACGATGGAATTTGGCACTTCACAAAAAAAAAAAAAAAAAAAAAAAAAAAAAAAAACAAGAAATAATATTACTGTTAGTCTGAGGTATTCATCTACAGAAGCAATGTAGTCAGATAATTTACAATCCAGTAATGCGAGTTTTCACAATTGTCTAAATGAAGCAGAGATATTGACAGATTCACACAGAATAAAAAGGCCCGAACGGCAAGTGCTATACACCCTAGAAAAATGGCTATCCAAATAGAAATCACAGATGTAACGGTGTTGTTGAGTGCACAATGTGTAACTTGTTATTATTTCAAAACCAAATACTTGCAACTTAGTGCATTCGTTTGAAATGGCCAATATCCGTCGGTCATTTAACCGTCCCATCGAGAAAGTTGCTCTAGGTGCATTATAAAGGGGCTACTAAATGTACACGCGCAAGAACGGTGAACTTCTGTTTTTGACGGAAAATCCCCCCTGGGTACGGATACGAGAGTTTTTCTCTCCTCTTCACCTTTACGTACAACCAAGTCTCGTCCGAGATTCAAAACCGCGCACAACGATACAGCAGCAAGCAACACTAACCATTATACCCAACACGGCGGCTGCGTAATGTAAATGCGAGCCATTGTTTTTAGAAAGTATCCCTCTCATTAGCCAAACATCTTTAGTGGGTTTTGCCAGAATCAAATACGCCACGCCGTATAGAACAAACATAAAAAGCTGGTAACTAATAACCCAAGGTCAGCTAAAATCGAGCAAGAATAGAGATAAGACCGTGAACTGGCATTAAGTGAATGGTATCATAAGTATTGTGAATGTTGCAAACTTCTTTTCCATTACAAATCTCTCCAGTCCACTGCTGTCATTGGATTGAATTATTCAATTATGGCAAAGCACACGAGGGCTGTCTGCCTAAAGGGAGGTATGCCTTCGTGGAGGACTTTCTAAGAGAAACTGGCTCGTATAGACGTTACACATGGGGAAAACCATGAAAACGCCCATGCAGACAGCCCGTTCGCGGGATTTGAACCTCGAACCGAACTACCAGTGCTTGCGTCTTTACCGCTCGGCCGCTGGTGGGCCTTGCTATCATTGGAAATGATAATGAAGAAGTTTAAAGGAAAAAAATGTTTAAATCTAATAAGCCCTGGTGGGTGGCCTTCGCACAAATTTTCTTCCTATGCATCACATATAGCTATTTTTGTAGATTTGCACTCATGACATTACTTTCTGCGCATACACTCGATTCAGTACATTTAACATACAAATAGTTATGATGACATATAATGTTTGATTTAATTTGGTTAGGGCAAAGTGGGGTTATGTGCCTGAGCGCAAAAAACGCATCAAGCAGCTAATATATTTTTCTACTGCTCAGCTAAATACACTGCGACGTTGTCAGAAAAATTAGAGAGAATATTACCTCTTATTCTTTCCTACAAAAGAAATCATCCGCTGTGTTGT